TAATCCATAACAAAATCCATCCTACAATTGTTATATGAAACTTAATTTTGTTAACCAATAAAAATCCATAAAAATCACCAATCACGATGAAAGTCTACTATGCTGGGCGATGCGACTTTCGTGATCGTCAGCACCCCGGCATGAAACTGTTTGCATAACTCGCGATCGATATTAAAAAATTAATTACGTATGCAGTTTAACCAATAATTTATTTATTGTACACAAAAACCTTTTTACAATTTTACATCTTTTTCTAACAAATTTATATGATAATTACAGAAATTTACAGGGAAGGAAAAAGGATGATGCTTGACCTTCGGGACCGCCGACTTGTTCCAGGTAAGTATTTTTTTTTTTTTGTTTTGTATTTGCCATCATCATTCACCAAGATATTAGTTACTTCCAAATTACGTAGGCGACCAGTTAGGTACATGTGAATTTTAATAAATTGGTCTATATCGCGCTCTTCAATGGCTAATAACAATGATTGAAACCATTCGAAAGAGCAGTAGTCACGGCAGATCCAGAATAAGTATGCCTTGCAAAGATTGGTGGACTTTGTTGGATAGGTCACACGATACCGAATAATCTTCAGAGTACTTGCAGATAGTGTGATACCGATACTCACACCCACCAACATCGCAACCTTAAATTTAAAGACATCTTCCAAGGCACTGAAATTGGGGCGGCTAATGCATCAGAGATTTGCTATTATACCGGTTTGGTTAAATAAGGTTGGCGATTTTGCACCACTTTAGATTCATAAATAAGGCAGAATGTTGGGTTTTTACATCATATTTGTCTATATAAGAAATCATATTTTTGAGGACCTCAATCAAGTTTAATGCCCTAGCTATTGGAGATTCAGATGAAAGAACTGGTGATGAAGGCGAGGGTGTCGTGGCTTCTACTTCAAGTGTTCTTTAATATAGTAATACCAAGACACATCCATATTGTAGTTTCCATCCCGTCATTCATGCAATAATTTTTTTATAATTTAATTTAATTTTTTTTTTAGGGTGGGAGGCACATATACCACTAATCCCATAATTATCGGTTTTTAGGCTTTGCTTTTCTTCTGCGCAAGCCATTCCGGAGCTTCTCTCGTTGGTTTGGGACTTTTTTTAGGTCAGGATGATGCTTCTTCCTCTATTTGATATATACCAGCAGCTGAATTCTTAGTGGGCATCGTTGTTGGAGCTGAATTGGTCTTTGTTTTTCCAATTGTCGCGGACACAACAATTCTTTCATTGCTTCTTGAAAATCAAACTTCCTTGGGGCAATTTCTCAGGGGTGGCAATTAAAGATCATTCCATTTTTGGAACCTGGTTATCAAATTTGTATCTAAATAGATGAGACGCATCTCACAGTTACCACCAATTTGTCATATACAGTTTGTCTAAAAAGTTTTTGAACAAATTTTTTAATTTAATTTATATTCATAATTCAATAACTACTTAATAAAATAAAATAAAAATTTGAATATATAATAATAACAATATAATAAACAAATTTACTTAATAGATTTTTATTAATATATTATTAAAATTTATTGAAAAGTAATTAATAATCAAAATTTTTTTTTCAAAAATAAATCAAATGGAATCAAATCAAATCAAAGAAAATCAAATCAAATCAAATCAAATAGAATTGAATAGAATGGAATCAAATCAAATCAAAATTAAATTGAATTGAATTGAATCAAATGGAATAGAATCAAATCGAATAGAATCGAATTGATTTTAAAATATATAAAAATTGATTCAAAAATAAAATTGAATGAAATTTCGATTTGATTCTGATTCTATTTCAAATTCGAATTGAATTGAATCGTTAGGATCCTTAAATGGAATCAAATCAAATCAAATCAAATCAAATCAAATAGAATCGAATCAAATAGAATTGAATTGAATTGAATTGAATTAAATCGAATCGAATTGAATCGAATCAAATTAAACCGAATCGAATCGAATCGAATTGAATTAAATTGAATCAAATCGAATAGAATTAAATTGAATCGATTTGATTCGATTTTAAAATATATAAAAATCGATTCAAAAATAAAATCGAATCAAATCAAATCGTTAGGATCCTTAATCAGAACTACTGGTATAGAAGAATTTCTACTTTTCCAAAAAGCATCCTTCTTAGAGTACCAAGAACAGAAAGATGACATATCAATTCCTGAATCTAAAACAAGTGCCCTTCTATTCTCAATATCAATAGGTATCCATAATATTAGAGGAATTACACGAAGTGTAAACCAGGCAAACCTTATAGAAGAGTTATTAGAGAGAAAAATAGATATAATAGGGCTTAGTGAAACAAAACTTACACAAGAAAGCCAGCATTTTGCATTTCAAAAACAAACAGAATACAAATGTTTCTTTAGTACTAAATAAAACAATTCCAGAAGTGCTAGAGTTTTTCTTTTAATCTGCAAAAACATTGAAAGATATATAGCATTAACTGATAAGATTAATGGATATCTTATAGTAATCAATCTATTAAATAAAGGATATAAGATGTGGATAGTCCAAATATATCTACCGAGTAACAAGAAAAGAAGCCAAATACTATAGAAAAAGATTCAAGATTTACTCTGAACATATCTATAGAAGAACTATGAGGTTGTTATAATAGGAGACTTCAATGCAATAGTAGATTCAAAAACAGATTAGAAAACAATAAACACTGCAAGGGAATTTGTCAGATCAAGTGATCCTGAAAGCAAACTGTTTCAATACATGACAAATTGAAACTTAATAGATCTACAACATCTATGGAAACCAACAGATACAACATATATATAAAGAAACAAAACAAGTTCCAGCAGGATAGATTATATGTGGAGATCCTATGATATAGTGAACAGCATGCTTCAGTTCAATAATGAAGACTTCTGATCAATATCTAATAGTGATTATACAATATTATCTAGGGGAGAGGGGGGATACAACTCAGCATTACACAAGTCAAATTGTCGATTCTAAATCTGTCACTAATTTTTTTGTACCACATTCATCTAATTTCATACGAAAAA